AACAGATGTCGGAAAGAACTTTTTCCCAATACTAGAAGTCATAAAAATGCAGCAAAACCCTCCAACGTCATTGGCGACATTGAAGATACAATTAGAGCTGATTACGAGGGGAATAAAACCCTGAGGAGTATGTTAAGAATTTCGGGATGGGTCAAATGATGGGTCTGTTTTCCTGGAGTGGTCCTGCAAATACATGGTCAATATTGTTGACCTTTTTTTTTTTTTTTTCATCCTTTAACTGAGAGCACCAGAAATTCATGAGCAATCTTTTTCTGCTGGGTCTACATTGATGCTTTTATTACTTCTTCCCAGGCAGGAGCCTAGATGTTATTCCAGTGCACACTCCCCTTCTCCACCTAATGGCCTCACACTTCAAGTGGGCAGGCTCCTGCTACAGCCATTACCTCAAGGTAAAGAGGAGGGTAAATGAATTTCATGTTGCCAGCACAAACTGTCCTGAGGTATCAGAGAAAAGCTGCAGTGGTGATTAAGGCTGTTCGGGTGGTGCTGTTGTGTGACTGAGACCATGAGTCCAACGAACTGCAAAGCGGCCTCTCCCTGCCAGCATCCATCACCTTGATTCCCTTTGCATGTTTCTTTCCTAGCAATTCTATAGTTCTTCTCCTATGGGTGTCCCAGCTGCTCCAATAGCCCTGTGGATTAAACTGCCCATTGACTTCGTTATGTTCATTTTTCCCTAAAGGACAAGGGAATTAGTTACAGCGTCTGCCATGACACAAAATTTGAAGAGAGAAGGTACCTGAGCCCCTAGCTTGGAGACCAGTTTGTTGATACAGTGAAAACCATAAGTCAGTCAGAACTTGTTCTTATTAACTTTAAAGTCCTAGGTTTCATTCAAACAAAGAAAAAAATCAAATGTAAAGATGTAGCCTGTATCTTCCATCTTGATTACTCAATAAAAGGTGGCACGGAGGACAGTAACCATATAAGAAAATTGGGTAAGACTCAGTTAAAAAAAATTAACTTCATAATCAAGCTAGCAAGCTATAACTTGAGGAAATCAATTATAACTCAGCAAAATGGGTTTTAACCTTATTTCATTTGTAAAATATATAAAGCCTATCAGCTAGTGCTGAAAATAAGGTCATTCATTCATTAACATGACAATGACAGAAACATTCTATGTGGGTGGACCATATCTTCATCCCTACCTTGTCTCCTGTATTTAAATAATCAATTCATAAAATGTGATCATTAAAATAAACGTTATTTTTAAAAAGACTGGAGAGCCGCATGGATATTCTATAATTAAGCAAATTGAGATCAGCAGCAAAATCCACTCTCTGGAAGCTGTCTCAAATTCCCAGTCTAAGCCTCCCCAGGTAAGGCGGCTCATCAGAGTCCTAAAGAAAATAAACCTTGGAAGACTTCAAATGCTCCAGGCAGGCATGAGAAAGGTTTTGACTTAGACTTCTGAGGAATGATACTGTATTGGGTAATTTCCCTCAGACTAATGACCGGATGGTCACAGTAAGAGAGAGATGATAAATATGCTAATTGAAAGGCCTTCGGTGCAGGTATTGAAAGGCCATGGCCACTTTGGTTTTTGTAATCAACAACATCAGGATGGCAGAGGCAGTACAGCTATAGCATACCACAGAGCTCATTCCCTAAAAGATGCGCCTCAGCTCATCTCGGTCCCACCTCTCTGCAAACGATGCTGCCAGCCAGTCTGTGGACAATCAGTCCACAGAGCAAACGATGCTGCCTCTCCATATGCAGGATACAAATTACTTTACATAGAAATCGAGTGTTTCTCACCTTTTCATTACTTTCAGTTTCAGAGAAGGGGAGGAGGCAAGAAGAACTGAATAATTTGCTTTAGAAGTCCACTGGGCTTTCCAGGTCTTGTCAGAACAGTAATTGTCCAACCCCCTCCTCCTCTTGTGAGTCCACTCAGAAATGTAGAGGAAAAGGCAAAAATCAAACAGAAGATAAAGAGCAAAAGTATTTCTCACAAAATTGTGAGAGACGATTATGTTACTTTTAAAGATGGAATTAAGAGATATGGAGCCAAATTCACGGGGGGGCTTAGTTCAAGATGACAGACTTTTGAACTCATCTGCATTGTTCTTTGTTAATTGTCATTTAAATTGTAGGGTTTCATGAAAAAGAGACATCTCACTATCCAGATAAATATGCCTTTCATTTCCTGATTGCCTGATGGGCAGAGCAGGCCCTAGCATGTGGACAAGTGGGCTGGATGTTCTGGGATTCTCTCTGCTACGGATCAGCAAGAAGGAAGGTCATGACAGTAGATGTTTCTGAAAAGGGCCTCAGTCAACAATGCTGCCTCCTTTACTGATTCTGAGATGGGAGTAGTACGGAAGAAATCCAAATGGTTAATTCACCTACCTCCTGCGAAAAGACCCTCCCACCATGTCTTTTCTGAAGACATGCTCTAGTTCCTGTCCAAATGTAGAGCAGTCAAAGAGCATCAAATAACTTTCTCACACACACATACCTCTGAAGAAAACCATTAGCTTCCAAATAAAAGAGCTGACTGTTTCCTGGCTGAGAAGGAACTGGGTATGAAAAAGAAAGCTCTTGATTTCATAGATGGGCCCTGCCTAAGGTCAAATCTATGAGGTCTTCCTCCTGCCTCCCACTCTTCCCTCAAAGCTGAGTCAGGTTTGGTAAACGCCACTGCTTGCTAGCAATGGGAATCCTGCACGTCTGCTTCTTGTCAATGGGATGTCACATCTCTCAGCATCTTCATTGGTAACGGACACATTGCAGACAAGTGCTAACAGAAGCAGTGGCACCTGTTCTATTGCAAATTGGGTCAGGGTAATGAAATCCCTCCTGAATTTCTGTGGCCTAATCAATGATTCTGCTCTAATGAAACCATAAATCAGAAAGGATTTACATAAACTGAGTCTCACTTGGCACCCCAACAAATAGCAAGTGATGGATTTTGCATTAAATTATAAGACCTACCTAACCATTTTATTGGCTACCAATAAATGCATCACTCTGAAAATTCCACTCAATCTTTAGGTATTTCTAAAGCATACCAGCTGCAGATAAGCTTATAACCATGAAAGCAGATTCCAGGAAGATATTCTGATGTCATAGTTAGCCTATCACTAATTCTAAGGGCCATTTCTGGCTATCAACATACTAAATTTTCCTAAGAATTTTACCAAAGCCCAGAGCTCTCATGACCAAGCACAGAAAGCCTAAGCTGAAAACATGCAATGGTGAAATATACAACACTTTCATATACCAGAAGGTGCTAAGGGAGGGGTCAACAATTACAGGCTGCCACCTGTTTTTGTAAATAAAGTTTCATTGGAACATGGTCACACCCATTCATATACCTATGGTCTGTGTTGCTTTCTTGCTAACTTTCTTCTGTTAGTTGTAACAGAAACCTCTTATCGGCAAAGCCAGAAATATTTACTTTGTAACCCTTTATAAAGAAGTTTTGCCACCCCTCTGCTACAGAAAAGATAGGAAAAAAAGCAAAATATGAGGTTACCTGAGCTAAACTGCTATGCTGCTGGGATCTCCTTAACTCTGGAAGCTTCAAAGCTCAAATTAAAAGAATACCACTTACTGGGTATTTGAGAATCTGAAGTATTTATGGTAGGTATAGTTTTAAAATAATACCTATGAGTTTAGCTGGATTTTTTAAAAGGTTTTGAACAAATCCTAGGTTCTCCTAATTCATCTAATTCTGCTTGGGTGAGAAGCTGCGGAGAGGAAGTGATACTTGAGCTGGGTTTTAAGACATAAGAATCAGTTTAAGAGGCCATGAAGGGAAAGGGCGGGGGGAGGGAATATGAAAAGAATTTGGTTAATGGGTACAAAAATACAGTTAGATAAAAGGAATTTATTGAATAGTATAATCAGGTAATTATACTTAACAATTAACTATTCTCTTTTTCAAAATAGAAGAATTATAACACAAAGAAAAGATCCCAACACAAAGAAAAGATCAATTTTGAGGTGATGGATATCTCAATTGCCCTGATTTGATTATTACACATTGTATATATGTATCAAAAGGTCACCTGTACACCCAAAATATGCACAACTATTATATAACAATTGAAAAATAAAAATAGGCTGGGCATGGTGGCTCATGCCTGTACTCCCTACACATTGGGAGGCCAAGACAGGAGAATTGATTGAGGCCACGAGTTCAAGGGCAGCTTGGGCAACATAGCAAGACCCAGTCTCTAAAAATAAATAAATAAATAAATAATTAGTTGGGTGTGATGGTGCATGCCTGTAGTCCCAGCTACTCAGCAGGCTGAGGCAGGAGGACTGCTTGGGCCCAGGAGTTCAAGGTTACAATGAGCTACGATCGTACCACTGCACTCCAGCCTGAGTGACAGAGCGAGACTCTATCTCTAAACTATTACTAATAATAAATAAAAATTTAAATAAATTTAGGGATGAAGGAAATTCCAGGAAGATGAAGCAAAACCATTTTTGCCCAATAATTAATTAGCAACCACGTGTTATTTATCTGATGCATTTTTCCTTGCAGGGAGTAAAAATGTTGTATAAAAATCTAACCTATAAGTAAGGATTCACCACACATCATTCTCTATCAGAGTATGGGAACTGGCCCAACAGACGGAGCTGAAAAGAATGCTTCCCAATCTCACTCATGAGAAAAATGTAATAATGATGATAATGATTATTATTATAAGAATTATCATTAGCATTATTATAGGAACCATCATTTATTGAACATGTGTCACATGCTAGGCATGATGGTAGGTGCTTATGCATTATCCCATTTAATCTTCACAGTATATAATTAAGTAGATACTATTATTATACTCATTTTACAATTGAGGAGACTATGACTGAGAGAGGTAAATAGGATATGCACCTTTTTAAGGAGCAGCTCAGAGTTTTGGGCCCATGTTATTATCATCACACTATTCATTAAACTCTCATGACCCCCAAGGCCAGCCCCAGCCTCACTCCAAGCATGGCCCACCACCAAGCCCACTTACCTCTACAGACACGGCAGCACTGATTCTCGGGAAGAATGTGATCCTTTTCTGAGCAGTTCAAAGGAGGACACATTTCCGTAATTTTTACCAAAACTCCACCCTGGAAGCCAAATATTAGGGAAAGAAAAAGATGTTCACATTTTTAGTCAATTGAACAAACTTATAATGTTCTTTGTTAATAGCCTGCAGTGATAACAACATATAATAATTAATACTCCCAGGGATTCCACTAAAAACGATAATGCCACAAATTAAATTAATGAGACCCCTGGAATATAAGGTAAATGTCCCTTTCTATATCCTAAAAGCCTCGAATTCAACAGTTTTGAAGTATCTTCTATGGAGCAGAAGGATTCTAACAGTAATGCACTGATAAAAGTTTAACAATCAACTCTTGGGCAGGTGAGGCCTAATTTATAACATTTCTTAATTTCTATGATGTAAATATTCCAGTGATGGCTGATTTTGAGCTATTAACATGGTATCACTCAAAGCAATGTTGGGAAGTTATGTATAATTGAGCTTATGTGAGCTCTGGCACACCCCTGGATAACAGGCATTGTGAATCCAATGATAGAGAGCATATCTTCCTTGCTCTTAATGAGTTCTCAGTTTGGATGGAAGGGGGAATAAAGCCTCATAAACTAGAAACCATAACACATACAGAACAGTAAGTCTAAAAAATATGCTCTAATAAAAGTATTATAATGTGTCATAGAATAATAATTAATTCTGCTCACGTTGGGAGAAATTATGAAGATGCCACATTTGGGGGAACTTGATTAGTGGAATAAAGGAAAAAGGGACTTTTCTGACAAAGAGAGCAGAAAAGAGCCAAGGCATGCAGGCAGGAAAGAACTGAAAGAGGACCAGTTAGATAAGACTAGATTTTCCCTAGATATAAAATCACTTACAATAACGTGTGTCATATTCAGAAGGTGAATCTTTATGACTTTACTTCATCCAAGGTCCTTTTGGTTGACATTACTAGCATCTGTATTAAGTTTGATGCCAATTTTTAAAAAATTATTCCATTAATTACTATTTTTTTAAATGGTGAGAGTCCCTTATTTTATCTAAAATATTTGCTTTTTCTCTCCCATTTTTAAGGGGATGCTTAAGTCAACCAAGAAGCAAGCTCAAGAGGAGGTGTCTCATTTAAGGCCAAAAGGTAGTTCCCAACATAGGTGGAAGAATAGGATGAAGGTGTACAGTCAAGAAGGATGCAGGAGAGAGTGAGTTTTCCATCTTCAAGAGACTGTCATCCCAGTGGTTCCACATTTCTCTGGTTTGGCAAGAACTCCCACTATATCAGGAATACCCATTCTTAAATTGGAACAGTAACACAATTGTATATGTCAAATATAAATTTCCAACTGCTCATCTTTTGGAATATTTGCACCACGGCTTCCTCTCCTTTCTCAGAATTTCCAGTCCAGACAGTCCAGTCTCTGGCATTCTTAGTGTCTTTTCTTCTCCTTTTATCTTTATTCCCAATCTTTCCCAAGGTAACTCTTAACTTTCTCCTGTCTTAGAATTGTCCCTAAGACCTGAGAATTGATCCTGCTATTCACTCTCTGCCCCACTTTGCAACTGCACTTCATTTTTATTCTTCAATCCAGACCATGATGGGTGGCATCTAACCTCAAAAATTATCTCCAGTCCTAAGGCAAGTGTCCCTACCCGATGTGCCTTACTTTCTACAACAGGGAAACAAACCAGTTATTACCAATCAATAGAAGTTAGTAATCTTACTATCAGCAATTAAATGTAGAGGAAATCACAATGCTGAATTACTTACCATTATTGCCTCTAAGTCTATCCTTCAATATTTAATATATTTATTGATGATCTGCTGCCTCCTGGCATAAATAAGACTGACTGACACTGTTGAATCCTTTTGTCAGTTCTATGCGCGCACCTCTAGGTTTATCAATGCTTTGCTGCAACTGATTCACCTCTGTCACTCTCAGAGCACTGCCCTTGGGCACTGGAGCGATTTTGCCCATGCAGAGAGTTACATGCAAGTTCTACAATTCCCACAGGTATGACCCAAAGCCAATGAATGAATAGTATGGGATATTCTTTACCTCAAAGAGATAAAGAATTCCACCCTAGAGATATTCTCTAGGGTAGAATGCATGCTCCAGAGCCCATGGTGGGATCATGGCATGTCTGACCTTTCATCTAAAATTGTACCTCTGCTCAGTTTCCTCGCCTTCTCCATCTGGCATTCCCCATACCCTCACTGGTTTCTCCTGGGGGCATTACCTTAATAAATCACTTGTACTGAAATCCTTAGCTCAGGGTCTGCTTCCGGGAGAACCCAAACTAAGACAATTAAAATAAATTTCACTCTTGCTGTCAAAAATCAAACAGTTAAAAGATTTTTCTCTAGGTGGTGAGATTCTGGAGTGATTCCCATTTTCTTCCTTACATTTTTACCTCTATATTCCAAATTGTATAAGTATATATTTTTGTAAAAACAAAATATTAAAAATGTTACTGAAGACTTTTTTAAAAATAATCATTCACAAGTCTTCTATTTTTATAAAAAGGGTTTGCTTTGCTGATTAAATCAGTCAACAATTCTAATCAACCTTTAACATATTTAATGAGTAAGATCATAATCCCAAATATTTAAACGGAGAAAAACCTTTTTGCATGAATTTGAAAATAATATGAACTGTGATTACAATTGCATAAGTGCCACCAAATCCATTTAGTCCAGCTACATAATTAGGCACAAACCTTTTACAGCTTTATTTTCAAAACTATCTCTGGTAAGAAGTACCTGATAATTAATATTTTAAGTCTTTCTGATTATGGTATGTTATTTTATGATCCCTGGAGTTCTGTGTTGGTGGAAAAAATATAATTCCTCTTTTCTTTCTCATTTAGAGTGGCTTGTCTCCATGTCATTGGTCAAATATATACACTTTCAAGTTCTGTACTAATCATTGAGCACTAACCTGAATTTCTAACAACATATAAAACTTACAACTTCAAGTCAAAAATTGTTGCTAGGATAAAGAAATTTTGCAGAAAAGCAATAATTGGGCAAAATTAATAAGACTTCTAGGAGAGTTTATTCATGGTGATTTAAAAAAAATTATGTTAATTCCTGGAAACACTTGGTGAAAATATTTGAAACAAGAGTTTGTTTTTTGTCTAATTGATGTTGCTGAAGCTTTAAAATGATCCCAGGAAAATGAAAATGGAGGGATCTCCAGGCATCCTTTTGCCAACTGAAGATCTCCATCTGAATGACAGAATATCAAAAATTATTTTAGCAATTATTTCCTCAATCCTCCCAAGGATAACACTTTCATAATACCATTTTAGATGCCTAAGAGAAAGTTTAATTTATTGCATACAACAGATTCCATAGAGCATTAGGGCTTACATCGTGAGAAAAACTGCCTAGGAGAAATAAGAGGCCCTTTGATCCCATACCCATTATCCTCACTCTCTGCTGACAATATCCATTAAATATGTCCCAAAGCTCTTCCATGGCCTTTTATAAATGCTACCTTTATCAAGGGAATCAATGGGCCATAGCCTGACCAATGTGATATTCTCAGATAAACTGAAAAGTGATCAATCAATCCTTCTCATTCTGCCCCTCTAAAATTCAGAAATGAGAATTATGTCCAAGTCAGTCTAACAATATCAGGAGTGGCAGTAGAGAGGCTAAGAGAGGAGGTTGTGGGGCCAAACCACCCAGGTTCTGATCCCAGCTGGTTCACTCACTACCTATGTGGCCTTGTTCTTCTGTGCCTTGATTTTCACATCTGGGTGTTACCTTCTGCACAGAATTATTATGAAGTTTCAATGAGATAAATATATTTTGTTGTTTTTTTTTTTTTTGGAAATGGAGTTTCGTTCTGTCAACAGGCTTGAGTGCAGTGGCGCGATCTCGGTTCACTGCCACCTCCGCCTCCCTGGTTCAAGTGATTCCCCTGCCTCAGCCTCCCAAGTAGTTGAGATTACAGGCACGCGCCACCATGTACGGCTTATTTTTTGTATTTCAGTAGAGACGAGGTTTCACCATGTTGACCAAGATGGTATCAATCTCCTGACCTTGTGATCCACCCACCTCGGCCTCCCAACGTGCTGAGCCCCACACCGGGCCGAGATAAATATGTTTTAAATGCTTTAAATTGTGCCTGGAAAATAATAAGTGCTCAAGTAATATTAAAAATTGTCGATAGCTCTTATATACAAAGTAACCAGTAAATAACTATAGAAAAGACAATAAATGGAAAAATAACTTTTTTGTACAGAATAAAATTATTCACACGCACTCACACATGCACACACACACACACACACACATACTTATGCAAGAGAATAATCAGTCTGCCCCAACTTCTTTCTAAATTATAAAAAAAAAAAAAAAAAAAAAAACAGTAAAAGATGAACCCAAGTGTGTAGAGCAACTGCAATGTGCCAGTAATAGTAGTAAGTGTTATTTAAATAAGCTGCCATTCAAATCTATGCCCATATCTTCTACAGGTCTCAAATGGTGTCTGCCTGGCTCTGCTTTCATAATAGACATTGAATCATAATAGTGACCCTTGCTAGAGTCACCCACAGCTTCCATTCAAAATGGAAAGGGATTTGCTAATTGTAAGTGTTATGGCTGATTCTGGTACCATCGCCACAGTGGGCAAAATTGCCTTTAACCATCCCAGCTTTCCCTGAAGTCGAAGACAAAAGCAAGAATTTTAGAATCCAACCTTTTTCCCTTCCTAGAAGTAAAACAATGTTCAGAGAGCACGGTATCTGTCTTAAATTCAAAGAGGACATGTATGGTCATATGGAATGACAAAAATAGCTCACATTTATTGAGGATGGTCTTTGTGGTAAGCACTGTACTAAGTTCTCCATGTGTTTTATCTCATTTAATCCACATGACATCCTTGTGTGACAACGTGCCACCTATAAGTTATTGACCACCCCACCTGCATCCCTACTCCCAGCCCTGGGAGCTTCCTTGTCAATCAAGAGATCATTAAAGCCCTTGCTATCACACCATCCTTGCCCCTGCCACAGAGTGGAGAGTCCCTACACCCAAATAAGTGCCACCAAATCCAT